GCTACGATGAAACTGGCTGTCATGAGGACCGCCACAGGAAAGGAAGACCCAGAGTTACCTCTGCTGCAGAGGATAAGTTCATTAGAGTTACCAGCCTCAGAAATTGCAGCCCAAATAAATGCTTCACAGAGTTGAAGTAACAGACACATCTCAACATCATAGTCGAATTGCTGCAAAGAAACCTCTACTAAACGACACCAATAAGAAGAAGAGACTTGCTTGGGCCAAGAAACACGAGCAATGGACATTAGACCAGTGGAAATCTGTCCTTTAGTCTGATGAGTCCAAATTTGAGATTTTTGGTTCCATCCGCCATGTCTTTGTGAGACGCAGAGTAGGTGAACGGATGATCTCCGCATGTGTGGTTTCCACCGTGAAGCATGGAGGAGGAGGTGTGATGGTGCACTGCTGGTGAGACTTAGATTTATTTAGAATTCAAGGCACACTTAACCAGCATGGCTACCACAGCATTCTGCAGCAATACGCCATCCCATCTGGTTTGCGCTTACTGGGACTATCATTTCTTTTTCAACAGGACAATGAACCAACACACCTCCAGGCTGTATAAGGGCTATTTGACCAGAAGGAGAGTGATGGAGTGCTGCATCAGATGACCTGGCCTCCACAATCCCCCGACCTCAACCCAATTGAGATGGTTTGGGATGAGTTGGACCTCAGACTGAAGGAAAAGCAGCCAACAAGTGCTCAGCATATGTGGGAACTCCTTCAAGACTGTTGGAAAAGCATTCCAGGTGAAGCTGGTTGAGAGAATGCCAAGAGTGTGCAAAGCTGTCATCAAGGCAAAGGGTGGCTACTTTGAAGAATATATAATATATTTTGATTTGTTTAACACTTTTTTGGTTACTACATAGTTCCATATGTGTTATTTCATAGTTTTGATGTCTTCACTATTATTCTACAATGTAGAATATAGTCCAAATTAAGAAAAACCCTTGAATGAGTAGGTGTGTCCAAACTTTTGACTGGTAATGTATACTGAGTGTTACGACACTGAACATATACTGTAATCCCAATGTTTATTGTATTCTTATCTCATCGCTGTAGTTCAACTAGTGCAGTATATATAAAACATTCCTAAACGTTGGCATGAGATGTAACACGTAAATTATTTAAAGGCAAAAAGGAAATTATTATATTTTCTCACATGTAAAAAGGGTGGTCAGTACAATTGACAGTTGCAGCCAACTGGAACAAGGATGCACACACTATGTAAAAAGCATATCTTCTCGTCCTTCTGTCTAAATTGCTCCACCATTTCAAAAACACTCCCACCTAACATATCACATTTTATAAATTTGCATCACCATGATAACAAATGTAGGCCTATGTACATGGTAGAAAACATATCAACCGTGTATTACTGAATACAGAGGCCTACCTCTGGGGAACCCTCAGAATCGTCAAATGCTTCAGCAAAGTCCGTTGGAGTTTTTCTCAGAGTCTGGTCCGTGGGCAGCGTGCTGTCATTGTAAGATCTGACGAACTTGAAGTCACTTGTGCGCGAACCTGTTGTCAGGTAGGCGTCATAATTGTAGGTGCTGCGGAGAGTTCCCGCGCCATCCACCTCTGCATAGTTTGGAGGGAGATACGCGCTGGGGATGGCGACCGCTCCGTCAAACAACAGTCTGGGCTTTCTCCTGCGGCAAAACCTCACGGCCAGGATGACAATAATGAAGGTGAGGAAAAAGGTGGAGACGGAGACCAGCGAGATGATCAGATAAGAGGTGAGTTTGGAATTGCTCTCATCATAAGATATATCTTTCAGTTCTGGCACTTCAGCCAAGTTGTCAGAAATCACTAAATACATGGCACACGTCGCAGAGAGAGAGGGCTGTCCGTTATCTTTCACTGCCACAATAAGGTTCTGTTTCATGCTGTCAGATTCAGAAATGTCCCGCTGTGTCCTGATCTCTCCGCTGTGGAGACCAATAGTGAACAGTCCCGGATCAGTGGATTTGACTATATGATAGGAGAGCCAGGCGTTCTGGCCGGAGTCTGCGTCCACCGCTATCACCTTAGAAACCAGAGAGCCCCCGTGAGCAGCTTTGGGGACAAGCTCGGTCATGAAGGAGTTCCTCTCAGGAGCGGGATATAGTATCTGAGGAGAGTTGTCATTCACATCCGTTATGAACACACTGACGGTCACGTTGCTGCTGAGCGGAGGAGAACCGTTGTCCCTGGCTACCACTTGGACTTTAAAGCTCCTGAACTGCTCATAATCAAACGACCTCACAGCATGGATCACCCCCGTGTCTCCGTTAACGGATAAAAACGAGGACACTGGGACACCGTTCACCTCACCGGGTAAGAGAGAGTAAATCACTGTACCATTCTGTCTCCAGTCTGGATCTCGTGCGGTAAGGGAACACAATGATGAGTCGGGTTTGTTATTTTCAGTCACGTGGGCGCTATAGGACTGTTCCTCAAACACAGGTGGGTTGTCGTTAACGTCGGCTACAGATAACTGAATAGTTTTAGAGGAGGACAGAGGCGGAGAGCCCTCGTCGGTGGCAATGATTGTAATGTTGTAATCAGACACTAGTTCACGGTCTAGTTCTCCCGTGGTCACCAAAGAATAGTAGTTTTTGATGGATGGCACCAGCTTAAAAGGAACGTTTTGCTGAATGGAGCAGCGGACCTGACCGTTGTTCTCAGAGTCTCTATCCTGCACGTTAATGATGCCCACCTCTGTACCAGGTGACACGTTCTCAGGTATGGGGTTAGTCAGAGATTTTAGATATATCACAGGTGCGTTGTCATTTACATCAGTGATATCAATAATTACTTTTGAATCAGATGAAAGGCCATAGCCGTCTTTACCCTCTATGCGCATTTCATATTTTGGGTCGCCTTCGAAATCTATCGGACCTATCACCTTAATTTCTCCCGTACTGTGGCCCAAAGAAAATACCTTTATTGCTTTGTCAGATATGCGACTGAATTCATACGTCACTTCCCCATTTACTCCCTCATCTGCATCTGTAGCACTCACTGTTACCACTACAGTATCTAAAGGAGAGTTTTCAGGAAGACTGGCTTTATAGACGGCCTGGCTAAACACTGGGGCGTTATCGTTAGCATCCAGTACAGTGACGTGTATGACTACAGTACCTGATCTCTGAGGAGTGCCACCATCTATTGCTGTTAGCAGTAAACTCATCTCCCGCTTTTCCTCACGATCTAGTTCTTTATCTAAAACCAACTCTACGTTCTTTCTTCCGTCAATGTAATCGTGAACAGACAGCACAAAATGTTCATTCCTTTGTAATGTATACCTTTGCACTGCGTTCTGTCCCATGTCTGCGTCATGTGCCTCGTTAACACGATAGCGAGCCCCTTTGACTGCCAACTCACTAATTTCCAATTTGATGGTGTCCTTCGGGAAAATGGGTGAATTATCATTGACATCCTCAATCAGTAGTGATACACGATGCAATTCCAACGGACCTTCTAGAACTAACTCGAATTTAAACATACACGAAACCTTATCTCCACATAGCTCCTCCCTGTCAATCCTTTCCGCAACAATCAAATCCCCGGTACTCTGATTAATACCACAATAATGTTCATGGTTCCCCTCGGTATCAATTCGGGCCTTACGAGCGGACAGTCTGCTAGCTTTCAAACCGAGATCTTTGGCTATATTTCCAATTACAGATCTGAGTTCCATCTCCTCCGGAAAAGAATAGCTCACGTCTCCAAAGGCAGAGTACAGCGTTTGGAGAAATAATGCAAAGCCGCAGACCAGGCCTGCCACCGATATTCCTTTGTGCCCCATCCTTGGATTATAAACTGAAAACGACTATATAGTTAAATACTGGAATGTAAACAAATAGTATTCCACAAAAATATGGAGTCAGAATAAAATAATATCCACCGAATGTGCCAGAACTCTGACCGTTTCCAAATATTTTCCGCAGCTAAATGGCACCAGAGCACACTGGCCTTGAAACAGAACGAAGTGGGGTGGAGAACTGGGTGTATAAACACACAGCTGGTGAATAGCGACACAGTGAGTACTCTTTAGAAATTACATATGGTGACAAACATTCTTCTAAATCTTTATTTCACGAAACGTCATCATAGAAAGCTGTAGCCTATATAAGTAGGCTGCATGATTGACTAGGTAGACTACTGTAATTATTGGGGGGAAATCACCCCAACCTTATGGAAATAATCCAAATATATAGAAAAACAGTAACTGGCAGTAAAACACCCAACACATAAATTACGGAAGGGTAAATCCATTTGAATTCAATCACTTTTTGACAGCATCCCTTAAACAAAACTTTCTATTCATGTTTGCCCATGGAAAAAGTGGTCAGAACGTGACTTTTTGGACCTGAATGCCAAAACATTCAGGAGATAAAGGTGCTCAAAGTTGACTTATTTTGCATTTCAAATCAAAACGGGTGATATCAAAAAGTGATTGAGTTCAAATGGATTTACCAGGCATTAAAATCCATATCAGACTATTTTAAAGAGTTAAGATATAGATTGGAGAAAATACGTTCCAAAGTGAACACATATCCAAAAAGTTATAAGTCTCATTTTTAGTGTCGGTATTTTAGTTAACACAAACTCATCAATGCAATATACAAAAACAGAGAGTATGGCAATGAATGAAAGTAATGACAGTCAAAAACGATTAAAAGTAAACCCTATAGGTCTTAAAATTGTCATTTCAGCACAATGGACAGCGACATACCAAAGCCGCTGCACAACGCTTCTCTCAACACTCTGGCTTAGTAGCTCTCCATATACCGTATTTCTATTTTGTAACCCGTTTCCGAATAGGCCTGCACTCGAACAGGACAAACTAGGCATAAACTAGGCTACTAACTCATTTTAACCTCAAACATGCAGCGTGTAGGTATATGTCAAAAATCAAAATAATTCACAACAGAAACATCACAGCTCAAAGCACATAATCACATCAAAATAATTCAAACCACATAATAGATTAGTATAAACATTTTTCACTTCAATTTTGAGGGTATATACATTATCATCAATAGCAACAAACCTAAAGCATGAACAAGTTGCCCAATATGGTGCATTCAAGACAACTCGGAAACTCAGAACCTCTGAGTAAAACTTTGCGTACGTTTTTTGCGTAGAGATTCCTATTGGTTGATTCTGACACTTTCCAAGTGGGAAACTCGGAGCTCATCTTTCTACAATGAGTTTCCAATTCGAAAATATAAATAAAATAAAATCAAGCCTACCTCTGGGAACCCCTCAGAATCGTCAAAAGTTTCTGCAAAATCAGTAGGAGTTTTTCTCAGAGTCTGGTCCGTGGGCAGCGTGTTGTCATTGTAAGATCTGACGAACTTGAAGTCACTTGTGCATGAACCCGTTGTCAGGTATGCGTCAAAATTGCTGCGGAGAGTTCCCGCGCCATGCACCTCTGTGTAGTTTGGAGGGAGATACGCGCTGGGGATGGTGACCGTTCCGTCAAACAACAGTCTGGGCTTTGTCCTGCGGCAAAACCTCACGGCCAGGATGACAATAATGAAGGTGAGGAAAAAGGTGGAGACGGAGACCAGCGAGATGATCAGATAAGAGGTGAGTTTGGAATTGCTCTCATCATGAGATATATCTTTCAGTTCTGGCACTTCAGCCAAGTTATCAGAAATCACTAAATACATGGCACAAGTCGCAGAGAGAGAGGGCTGTCCGTTGTCTTTCACTGACACAATAAGGTTCTGTTTCATGCTGTCAGATTCATAAATGTCCCGCTGTGTCCTGATCTCTCCGCTGTGGAGGCCAATAGTGAACAGTCCCGGATCAGTGGATTTGACTATATGATAGGAGAGCCAGGCGTTCTGGCCGGAGTCCGTGTCCACCGCAATTACCTTGGAAACCAGAGAGCCCCCTAGCGCAGCTTTAGGGACAAGTTCGGTCATAAAGGAGTTCCCCTCCGGGGCGGGATATAGTATCTGAGGAGAGTTGTCATTCACATCCGTTATGAAAACACTGACGGTGATGTTGCTGCTGAGCGGAGGAGAACCGTTGTCCCTGGCCCACCACTTGGACTTTAAAGCTCCTGAACTGCTCATAATCAAATGACCTCACAGCGTGGATCACCCCAGTGTCTCCGTTAACGGATAAAAACGAGGACACTGGGACATCGTTCACATCACCGGGTAAGAGAGAGTAAATCACTGTACCATTCTGTCTCCAGTCCGGGTCTCGAGCAGTAACGGAACACACAGAGGAACCAGGTTTGTTATTTTCAGTCAAGTGGGCGCTATAGGACTGTTCCTCAAACACAGGTGGGTTGTCGTTGACGTCAGTTACAGATAACTGAACAGTTTTAGAGGAGGACAGAGGCGGAGAGCCCTCGTCGGTGGCAGTGATTGTAATGTTGTAATCGGACACTAGTTCACGGTCCAGTTCGCCCGTGGTCACCAGAGAATAGTAGTTTTTGATGGATGGCACCAGCTTAAAAGGAACGTTTTGCAGAATGGAGCAGCGGACCTGACGGTTATTCTCAGAGTCTCTGTCCTGCACGTTAATGATGCCCACCTCTGTACCAGGTGACGCGTTCTCAGGTATCGGGTTACTTGGAGATTTTAGATATATCTCAGGGGCGTTGTCGTTTATATCTGTAATGTCTATTATCACTTTAGTGTCTGAAGAAAGGCCATAACCATCTTTTCCTTCTACAAACATTTCATATTTGGATTCCTCTTCATAGTCTAACTCCCCTATTACTGTAATGTCCCCCGTTTTCTGGTCCAATGTAAACATTTTACTTGCCTTATCAGACATTCGACTAAATTCATACATTACTTCGCCGTTCACTCCTTCATCTGCATCAGTACTGCTCACAGTAACAACTAGTGTACCTAAAGAAGATGTTTCCGGCAGACTGGCATTGTAGACGGCATGGCTAAACATTGGGGCGTTATCGTTAGCATCCAGTACAGTGACGTGTATGACTACAGTACCTGATCTCTGCGGAGTTCCCCCGTCCACAGCTGTGATCAATAATTGTAATTCCTGCTGCTCTTCACGGTCTAATTCTTTGTCAAGCACTAACTCACCGTATTTGCTACCTGCAGAAGTGGTTTGAACACTCAACACAAAATGGCTATTCCTTTGTAGCATGTAACTTTGAACTGCATTCTGTCCTATGTCTGCGTCATGAGCAGCGTTCACACGATAGCGAGCTCCTTTGTCAGCTGATTCTCTGATTTCCAGTTTAATTGTATCCTTTGGAAATATGGGTGAATTGTCATTGATATCTTGTATTTGAAGTGATATGCGATGTAACTCAAGAGGATTCTCTAGGACTAACTCAAAGCTCAGAAGGCATGACACCTTTTCTCCGCAAAGCTCCTCTCTGTCAATCCTTTCGGTAACAATCAAATCACCACTATTCAGATTAATGTCCCAATAACGTTTGCGGTTCCCTTCGGTATCAATTCGGGCCTTACGAGCGGACAGTCTGCTCGCCTCCAACCCCAGATCCTTGGCTATATTTCCAATAACAGATCCGCGTTTCATCTCCTCCGGAAAATAATAGCTCACCTCTCCATAGGCGGAGTTCAGTGTAAGAAAAAAGAATGCAAAGCCGCAGACCAGGACTGCGACCGAAAATCCTTTGTGCCCCATTGTGGGATTAAAACGTCAAAACACCTTACAGCCAATATACTATACAATGCAAACAAATAATATTTCATAAAAAAAATACAGTTTCATCGAAATTACATCCTCAAAATGTGCACGCAATCTGACCGTCTCCAACCTTTTCCGCAGCTAAATGGCACCCGAGCCTTGTAACAACACAAGTGGGTGGAGAACTGGATCTATAAAAACATAGCTGGTGAATAGCGACACAGCGAGTACCCTTCAGATATTACACATTATCTGACATTCGTTGATATGTGTCACCAAAAGTATTTCAATAGGCCTATGAGTAGCCTAGGCTGAATTGATTGATAAACTATTGGAAATAACAAAAGAGAAGAACAGCAAACGACAGTATATAAAACCACAAAACCATAAATGATTGCCATTAACCCGCATTCTGTTGATATGAGTTAAGATCAGGTGGAATGAATATATTACAAACGAGAACACATCTCTGATAGGATGTAGGCTACAATGCAAATAACAGACTTAGGCTATGCAATTTATAGTGCCGCTCCTTCAGCCATTACAAAAGCATCAGTGCCATTAACAGAAAAACAGAGTATGGCAAGAAATGACCGTTGAGACACTAAACAATCAGTAAATCTTATTGGCGTGAAATCGGATTGTATGCATTTACAGCACCATGGACAGTGGCATTGCGAGGACGCTGCACTTCAGACACTCTCACACCGCTACTCTCATCACTGTGTAAATAGCTCTCAATATAAAGTATTTATCTTCTTCCAAAAACGAGCTAAATAGCACTTCACTCGAAAAGAGCCAAACTCCTATATCAACCCTTTTCCTGTAACCTCAAAACTGTACAGTGTGTATGTGAAAAATGAAATCACAAACAGTAGGCTCCACATGACAAACCAAACCACATAATATTAGCATCCCTGGATTTCTCACTACAACTTTAAGGGGATTGAAATGCGTTGTAAATGACATCACACGTGGAGAACAAACTAGTTGCCTAAATAGACAAGCTAAATTACGCATTCCTGTAGGCCCATTGGGGAGAATGATTTTCTTCAGTGGAAAAAATGTAGAAACCATCTTAGCTGTAATTGAATGAAAATATAGCTGTATTCCATAACATTATTAAACCAAATGTAGTTTATTTCTATTTACAATAAGTCCTACCTTTGGGGAGCCATCAGAGTCATCCATTTCTTCAGCTAATTCTGTTGGAGGACAGAGGCAGAAAGCCTTCGTCGGTAGCAGTGATTCGAAATGTTGTAATCAGATACTAGTTCACGGTCCAGTTCGCCCGTAGTCACCAGAGAATAGTAGTTGTTGATGGATGGCACCAGTTTAAAAGGAACGTTTTGCTGAATGGAGCAGTGGACCTATCGGTTTTCTCAGTCTCTATCCTGCACGTTCGGTTTCGGTTTCCATTCCAGTGTTGCCGAGGTGGTGCGCTCAGACCGGTGGCTCAGTAGACCGGCGAATCAGAGCGCGGGAGGGGAGCAACGGGAGGAGACGTGACAGTACCAGGTGACGCGTTCTCAGGTAAAGGGTTATTCAGAGATTTTACATATATTACAGGGGCGTTATCATTTATGTAGGTTATTTCTATAATTAATACAGAATATTAAGTTAACCCAGGCCCATACTTGGCTCTAATTTGCAATTCATATGACGACCCCTCTTCATAATCAACTGACCCAATAACCCTTATTTCCCCTTTCTTAGGATCAAGCGAGAATAGTTAAACATCCTCATCTGAAACATGGTCAAAGTCGTACGTCTCTTCACCATTTCCTCCCTCATCTGCATATGTAGCACTCACTGTAACTACAGTATCTAAAGGGCAGATGGGCTTCATAGACGGCCTGGCTAAACACTGGGGCATTATTGTTAGCATCCAGTACAGTGATGTGTATGACTACAGTACCTGATCTTTGCGGAATGCCACCATCTACAGTTGTCAGTAGCAATTTTATCTCCTGCTGATGTTCAAGATCTAACACTTTGTCTAAGACTAACTCACAGTATTTGCGTCCACCACTTTTCGCATTAATGCTCAAAACGAAATGGCCATTTGTTTGCATTGTATAGCTCTGGACCCCATTCTGCCCGATATCTGCATTGTGGGCCTCATCTAATGAAAATGCGCAACTTTAATTGCAGATTCTGCTATCTAAATTTTACTTATGTCGTTTTTAAATTCTGGGGAATTATCATGAATATCTTGAACATCCTGTTTTAAAAATGCACAAAGCCTTCTTGCCACAAAGCCCCTCTCTGTCAAGCCTCTCTGCAACAATCAATTCCCCGGTACTCAGATTAAAGCGGCAATAAGCAGTAGAAACAATAACATAGCTGAGTGATGGGGCTGGAGAAATATAACCACTCTCAAAAGTATAGTTTTAACCATGTTGAGAGGCTATATAGTGTTCGTTTACATTTTCTTTGTTTACAAACAACAGAGTAAATAAATAGCTTATATTTAGAGTTCTGATGGGGAACGACAGTTGAACTAAGCTCATGGGGCATTTATAAGTTATATTCTTCAATAATCAATAATATGCCATTTAGCAGACGCTTTTATCCAAAGCGACTTACAGTCGTGCGTGCATACATTTTTTTGTGTATGGGTGGTCCCGGGGTTCGAACCCACTACCTTGGCGTTACAAGCGCCGTGCTCTACCAGCTGAGCTACAGAGGACCACGGGTCAATGGGTACACATTAATGTATATGTCAAAACTTGATTTAGCAAATGCTGATTGCCACTTAAATGTCACAATAACGTTGTTGGTTCCCTTCGGTATCAATACGGGCCTTACGACCAGACAGTCTGCTCGCGATCAGCCCGAGATTCCTTGGCTATATTTCCAATAACAGATCGGCGTTTCATCTCCTCCAGTAAAGAATAGCTCACATCTCCATAGGCAGAGTGCAACATAAGAAGAAAGAAATCAACAAAATATGTACGCAATCTGACCGTCTCCACTACTTTCTGCAGTGAAATGGCACCAGATCTAGCGACACAGTGAGTACCCTTCAGAAATTACACAAATGATCTGATATCGTCCTGAATGCATTTCAATTAAAGACGTGCTAGGCTACATGCATTCTTGATCAACTATTCGATACATTCATCTCTTTAGATCAATGAATAACCGAATAGAAAGACAGGATATAACCTAAAACCACCACAAATAAACCATAGTACGTTGCTGTTGGTCTTTAGGTTAGCAGTCTTTCATCTGTGTCCTGCATAAAAATACTGACGTAAGCAAAGTGATAACTTTCAAACAATAATGACTAGTTAGTCTTACCGCTCTTGAATACATGATTTCAGCACCTCGGACAGCCACACTCAGTTCAGAGTTGGTCCTTGCTATGTGGAATCATTGGGACGTCCCTAGCACACTGAAGTTCACGTTTAAAATGATTACGGTAAGGGTTAAGGTTAGGGTTAGGGTTAGATTAGGGTTAGGGTTAGGGTTAGGGTTATGGTTATGGTTATGGTTATGGTTAGGGTTTAGGGTAGGGACGCCCCAAGGATCTCGGATAGCACAAATCGTTTAGAGTTGCTGCTGTTTTTACTGCTGAGTTATAGCTGATTTTCTCATCACTTTAGCTCGCTAAATGATTCTATACAAACAGGTCTACAAGTAAACTGTACCACAATAGGCTACCTAACTACCAACCAAAATTTACAAAACTACCATGAACACATTCTCTGTAACATCTGTACAGCGTACATGCCGTACAAGTATCCAGCCAATTTATCAATCACAAAAACAAGCACAATAAACCGGTCACAACACAAACATTTCAACATCAATAAAATGTCTCCCTTTGAAATGAAAGGGGATTGAATCGTTGCATTTTATCTCTCATTGTACAGAACTTGCTGTGAAATAATATTCTTAAAACATTAAAAGCAAATCTCCTCAATTTCTATTTGCAGGAAAGGCCTACCTCGGCGGATCCCTCAGAATCGTTAAGTTCTTCAGCAAAGTCTGTTGGCGTTTTTCTCAGAGTCTGGTCCGCGGGTAGCGTGTTGTCATTGTAGGATCTGACGAACTTGAAGTCACTAGTGCGTGACCCCGTAGTCAGGTAGGCGTCATAATTGTAAGTGCTGCGGAGAGTTCCCGCTCCATCCACCTCTGCGTAGTTGGGCGGGATATACGCACTGGGAATAGCGACCGCTCCGTCAAAAAATTGTCTAGGCTTTCTCTTGCGGCAAAACCTCACGGCCAGGATGACAATAATGAAGGTGAGGAAAAAGGTGGAGACGGAGACCAGCGAGATGATCAGATAAGAGGTGAGTTTGGAATTGCTCTCATCATGAGATATATCTTTCAGTTCTGGCACTTCAGCCAAGTTGTCAGAAATCACTAAATACATGGCACACGTCGCAGAGAGAGAGGGCTGTCCGTTATCTTTCACTGCCACAATAAGGTTCTGTTTCATGCTGTCTGATTCAGAAATGTCCCGCCGTGTCCTGATTTCTCCGCTGTGGAGACCAATAGTGAAAAGTCCTGGATCAGTGGATTTGACTATATGATAGGACAGCCATGCGTTCTGTCCGGAATCCGCGTCCACCGCTATCACCTTGGAAACCAGAGAGCCCCCGTGCACAGCTTTGGGGACCAGCTCGGTCATGAAGGAGTTCCTCTCCGGAGCAGGATATAGTATCTGAGGAGAGTTGTCATTCACATCCGTTATGAACACACTGACGGTGATGTTGCTGCTGAGCGGAGGAGAACCGTTATCCCTGGCCACCACTTGGACTTTAAAGCTCCTGAACTGCTCATAATCAAATGACCTCACAGCGTGTATCACCCCTGTGTCTCCGTTAACGGATAAGAACGAGGACACTGGGACACCGTTCACCTCACCGGGTAAGAGAGAGTAAATCACTGTACCGTTCTGTCTCCAGTCTGGGTCTCGAGCAGTAACAGAACACACGGAGGAGCCGGGTTGGTTATTTTCAGTCACGTGGGCGCTATAGGACTGTTCCTCAAACACAGGTGGATTGTCGTTCACGTCAGCTACAGATAACTGAATAGTTTTAGAGGAGGAAAGAGGCGGAGAGCCTTCGTCGGTGGCAGCGATTGTAATGTTGTAATCGGACACTAGTTCACGGTCCAGTTCGCCCGTGGTCACCAGAGAATAGTAGTTTTTGATGGATGGCACCAGCTTAAAAGGAACGTTTTGCTGAATGGAGCAGCGGACCTGACGGTTATTCTCAGAGTCTCTGTCCTGCACGTTAATGATGCCCACCTCTGTACCAGGTGACGCGTTCTCAGGTATGGGGTTACTCAGAGATTTTAGATATATCTCAGGGGCGTTGTCATTTATGTCTGTGATGTCTATAATCGCTTTAGTGTCAGATGAAAGACCGTAACCATCTTTCCCTTCAATAATTATTTCATGTTTAGCTTCTTCTTCATAATCTATTTCTCCTATTAGTCTAATTTCTCCAGTTGTCTGATCTAATGCAAATAGTTTTCTGGCTATGTCAGAAATGCGACTGAATTCATACATCACTTCCCCATTCACTCCCTCGTCTGCATCTGTAGCACTCACTGAAGCCACTACAATATCTAAAGGAGAGTTTTCCGGCAGACTGGCTTTATAGACGGCCTGGCTAAACACTGGGGCATTATCGTTAGCATCTAGTACAGTGACGTGTATGACTGCAGTACCTGATCTCTGCGGAGAGCCACCGTCTACAGCTGTAAGCAATAATTTTAACTCCCGCTGCTCCTCGCGGTCTAGTTCTTTATCTAGTACCAACTCACCGTATTTACTACCAACCGTATTGGTTTGAACATTCAGCACAAAATGGCCATTCCTTTGTAACATGTAGTTTTGCACTGCGTTCTGTCCTATATCTGCGTCGTGGGCAGCATTCACACGAAAGCGAGCGCCTTTGACAGCCAACTCACTAATTTCGAGCTTGATAGACTCCTTTGGAAAAATAGGCGTGTTATCGTTAACATCCTGAATTTGCAATGTGATTCGATGCAACTCAAGTGGATCTTCAAGCACAAACTCGAATTTTAGAGCACATGAAACCTTCTCTCCACAAAGCCCCTCTCTGTCAATCCTCTCGGCAACAATAAAATCCCCAGTACTCAGATTTATGTCACAATAACGTTTACGGTTCCCTTCTGTATCTACACGAGCCTTACGAGCGGACAGTCTGCGCACATCGATCCCGAGATCCTTGGCTATATTTCCAATTACAGATCCGCGTTTCATCTCCTCCGGAAAAGAATAGCTCACATCTCCACACACGGAATGCAGTGTAAGAAGAAAGAGAGCAACGCAGTAGACCAGGCCTGTCACCGATATTTCTTTGTGCCCCATCCTGGCATTAAAAACGTTGAAAAGCCTAAATATTACAATGTAAAGAAATCGTATTCCACAAAAGATTCACTATGATCTAAATTAAATACACCAAATGTGCCAGAAATCTGACCGTTTCCAATCTTTTCCGCAGCTAAATGGCATCTGAGTCTTGTAACACCACCAGTGGGTGGAGAACTGGATCTACCCAAACACAGCTGGTGAACAGCGACACAGCGAGTACTCATTAGATATTACACATACATACTGTATTAACAAACATTCTTCTAAATCTATGTTTCACAAAATGTAGATTCTATTTCACCAAATATAGATTTAGAAGACTGTTTGTTAATATGTGTAGTGTCTAAACAGTAGGCCTACTCACTGGGTCGCTGTTCACCAGATGTGTTGAATAAATAGCCTAATGCATGATTGATTACTGTAACTATTCAGGGGAAATCACCCCAAGCTTATAGAAATAACCAAAAAGAAACACAGGAAACGGCAATAAAAGACCTAAAGCATGAATTAGGGCAATCAAAGCATCATCATACTATTTTCATGAGTTAATATTAGGTAGAAGAAATACATTGCACAGAGGAAGGCATCTGTGATAAATTAGGCTATAGTTCTACATTCCAAGTATCATATGTATAATGCTGGTATTTTAGTGAACACTCATCAATGCAATATACAAAAACAGAGAGTATGGCAATGAATTAAAGTAATTACAGTGATACAGCAATAAGAAGTATACACTGCAAGCTACAAATGGGATTTCAGCCCCATGGATAGTGGCACAGCAATGCTGCTGCACTTCAGACACTATCACACCACGTATCACTGTCTTAATAGCTGTATACATAAAGTATTTGTTTTTCGTAATCCCTTCCCAAAAAGGCCTCCACTCCAACAGGGAAAACTCGTAATAGTAACACATTTTAACCTCAAACATGTGCAGTGTGCATGTCAAAGAACAAAACCAATCACAAACAGAACCATCACAAATCAAACCGCATACTCAAACCACACAACTCAAGGCAGTAGCATCAATCTTTTCTAGTTCAATTGTGAGGTGATTTAAAAAATCATAATTACATTACAAATTGCATCAAACCTAAAGCATGAACAAGTTGCCTTATAGACAAGCTGTGGTATTCATGTACTCCTGTTCAATAGGCTACATGATTTTCTCAATTTCAAAAAATGCGTTATTGTACAAAGCTGCTTAACTGTAATTGTATGAAAAGTTTGGCATCTATTCTATGATAAATAACCTCCCGAGTGGCGCAGTGGTCTAAGGCACTGCATCGCAGTGCTAGCTGTGCCACTAGAGATCCTGGTTCGAATCCAGGCTCTGTCGTAGCCGGCCGCGACCGGGAGACCCATGGGGCGGTGCACAATTGGCCCAGCGTCGTCCAGGGTAGAGGAGGGAATGGCCGGCAGGGATGTAGCTCAGTTGGTAGAGCATGGTGTTTGCAACGCCAGGGTTGTGGGTTCGATTCCCACGGGGGGCCAGTATGCACTCACTAACTGTAAGTCGCTCTGGATAAGAGCGTCTGCTAAATGACGTAAATGTAAATAAATACAATACATCTATAATTTATTTTTATTTAGAGTTCAAGCCTTACCTCTGGGGAGCCCTCAGAATCGTCAAACGTTTCTATAAAGTCAGTTGGGTTTTTTCTCAGAGTCTGGTCCGTGTTTTCATTGTAAGATCTTGAAGTCACTGGTGCTCGAACCCATCGTCAGGTACGCATCATAATTGTAACTGCTGCAGAGAGTTCCCGCGCCATTCACCTCTGCATAGTTGGGAGGGAGATACGCGCTAGGGATGGCGACCGCTCCGTCAAACAACAGTCTGGGCTTTCTCCTGCGGGAAAACCTCTCGGCCAGGATGACAATAATGAAGGTGAGGAAAAAGGTGGAGACGGAGACCAGCGAGATGATCAGATAAGAGGTGAGTTTGGAATTGCTCTCATCATAAGATATATCTTTCAGTTCTGGCACTTCAGCCAAGTTATCAGAAATCAGTAAATACATGGCACATGTTGCAGATAGAGAGGGCTGCAACAATAAGGTTCTGTTTCATGCTGTCAGATTCAGAAATGTCACGCTGTGTCCTGATCGCTCCGCTGTGGAGGCCAATAGTGAAAAGTCCTGGATCAGTGGATTTGACTATATGATAGGAGAGCCAGGCGTTCTGGCCGGAGTCCGAGTCCACCCCTATCACCTTGGAAACCAGAGAGCCCCCGTGCAAAGCTTTATGGACCAGCTCGGTCATGAAGGGGTACCCCTCCGGGGCGGGATATAGTATCTGAGGTGAATTGTCATTCACATCCGTTATGAACACACTGACGGTCACGTTGCTGCTGAGTGGAGGAGAACCGTTGTCTCTGGCCACGACGTGGACTTTAAAGCTCCTGAACTGCTCATAATCAAACAACCTCACAGCATGGATCACCCCCGTGTCTCCATTAACGGATAAAAACGAGGACACTGGGACACCGTTCACATCACCGGGTAAGAGAGAGTAAATCACTGTACCGTTCTGTCTCCAGTCTGGATCTCGTGCGGTAAGGGAACACAATGATGAGTCGGGTTTGTTATTTTCAGTCACGTGGGCGCTATAGGACTGTTCCTCAAACACAGGTGGGTTGTCGTTGACATCAGCTGTGGGCCGGGGCGGAGAGCCCTCGTCGGTGGCAGTGATTGTAATGTTGTAATCAGACACTAGTTCACGGTCCAGTTCGCCCGTGGTCACCAGAGGATAATAGTTTTTGATGGATGGCACCAGCTTAAAAGGAACGTTTTGCTGAATGGAGCAGCAGACCTGTCGGTTATTCTCAGAGTCTATCCTGCACGTTTATGATGTCCACCTCTGTACCAGGTGACACGTTCTCGGGTATGTGGTTAATATGAGACTTTAAATCAGGGGCACAACTTTCACTGGGGATGGAAGAGACATATCGCTCCCACATTCAGAAATTGCATTTTTGTGCCCCCCAGTTTTATCATTGGAATGTGATAGAAAATGAGTCAACCGTGTGCTTTAGGACCATGCGGATGCCTCCGAGCGGTCGGGTAGGCTGTTTGGAGTGTTTATCCGACTGGATAAAATAAAAATAATATAAAACCCCATAAAAAAGTGCGCCCTCTTTAATAATATGGTCTTCGGTAGACCACGCGCTGTACGCAGTAGTGGTTCGATCCCGGACCACCATACACCAAAGTTGCGCATGATGTATCGCTTGGATAAAGCTGCTAAATGATATATTATTATTATTTTATATCACAGGGGCTTTGTCAATTACATCTGTCAGGTCTATGATCACTTTGGCATATGAAGCTAACCCTAAACCATCCTTCGCTTTAACACGCAATTCAAATGATGAGACTTCTTCAAAATCAACTGTGCCAATAACTCTAAGTTCTCCAGTTTGTCGGTTGAAAACATTTCTTATCCTCATGTGAAACATGATTGAAGTCATACAGTATGCCACTTCCCCATTCACTCCCTCATCTGCATCTGTAGAACTAACTGTAACCACTACAGTATCTAAAGGAGAGATTTTTAGGTAGACTAGTATTATAGAAGGCCTGGCTAAACATCCAGTACAGTGACGTGAATGACTACAGTACCTGATCTCTAGGGAATACCTCCATCTATCGCTCTCAGTAATACTTTGAACTCCTGCCTTTGTTCATGATCAAGTTCTTTCTCTAAAACTAGCTCAAATGTATTTCAGTTAAAACAAAATTGTCATTCTTGTCTAATGTTTATCCTTGAACCGCATTTTGTCCTTTATCTGCATCTTGAGCCACCTCCAATAAGAAACGAGCACCTTTGGCTGCTGATTCACTTATTTCCATCTTAATCAAATCCTCATTAAATTGTGGGAAGTTGTCATTGTAAAGTGGTTATCCCACTGGCTATAGGGTGAATGCACCAATTTGTGAGTCGCTCTGGATAAGAGCGTCTGCTAAATGACGTAAATGTGCCCTTGAGCAAGGCACTTAACCCTAATTGCTCCTGTAAGTCGCTCTGGATAAGAGCGTCTGCTAAATGACTAAAATGTAAATGTAAATGCAAATGTAAATGTCATTTGCATCTTGAACATGAAGACTAATACGTTGAAGCTCCAAATAATTCTCTAATGCAAGTTATTGTTGTAAAAAGCACGAAGCCTTCTTGCCACAAAGCCCCACTCTGTCAATCCTCTCGGCAACAATCAAGTCCTCTGTACTTAGATTAATATCACAATAACGTTTTTGGTTCCCTTCTGTGTCAATACTAGCCTTACGAGCAGACAATCTGCTCGCCTCCAGCCCGAGATCCTTGGCTATTTTTCCAATCATATATCCGCGAATCATCTCCTCCGGAAAGAATAGCTCAGGTCTCCATAGGCGGAGTGCAGCGATAAGAGAAATAAAGTAAAAGCGCAAACCAGGCCTATCATCAGGATTCCTTTGTGCCCCATCCTGGCATTAAAATAGTCAAAATTGTATAGCCTATATACTTCAGTGTAAACAGATATAGTATTCCACAAAAGAAATATGTAGTTCAATGTAAATAATATCCACAAGTGCACGCAATCTGACCGAATCCAATCTTTTCCGTCGCTATTGCAGCCAAGCCACTGAGCTTTATGACAACACCAGTGGGTGGAGAACAGTATATATTCAAACTCAGCTGGTGAACATCGACACAGTGAGAACCTTCCAGAAGCTCCACTTGTTAACTAATATTAAATGTTTATTTCACGAAAAGTCGTGATAAGGCCAATAAGTAGGCTGCATGATTGATTACTGCAACTATTGGAATACGTGTTACTCCTAGCTAATACAACCAAATAGAAAGATAGGAAATGACAGTACATAAAACAGTAAGTCGATGTGGCAAAGAAGGAAAGTAATGCAGTTCATCAGTAGCCATAAATATAGACTAAGCCCTACTGCTTTTACAGTGATTGTGAGTTTGTTTTCTCCAATTTCAGCACCTTGGACAGTGACTGCAGCGCGGCACTTGGCATGGACACTAGCACAACCACTCTCATCATTCTGTCTAAATAGCTTTCCACATGCAGTATTTTGCTTGTTTTACCCCATTCCAAACTAGCTTTCACTCCAGCAGTGCCAAGCTCTAAACAGAAACATATTCTCCAAACTGCAATGTGCATGTGAACAAACCCAGTCAAACTATCAATAAACCAACAGAAGATAGCCACATCACAAATCAAATCATATGTAAGCATTTTAAGATGTATTACTTCAATCATAAGGGGATTGAAAAATTACAATGCATTGCAAATAAAACCGTAGCAAAAAATATGTTGCATTAATAGACGACCTGGTGTAATAACATTTTATCCCGATCGAATAGGCCTACTGATTGTTCCCTGCATGATTTTGTTTTGCAAAGAATCTTATCTGAAACGGTAAAAGAGTATAGCCTCTATTATATGCTGAATAAAACCAAAGCTAGTCTGTTTTTATTGAAAATAAAGGCGTCACTCTGGGGACCCATCAGAGTCATCAAGATCATCAGCAAAGTCTGCAGTAAGGGAACAAACTGAGGAACCAGGTTTGTTTTGCAGTCACGTGAGCTCTATAGGACTGTTCCACAAACACAAATAATCCAAATGTTTAAATATTTTTCAGCTCAAAACTGCAGCAAACCAAAAAGAGCTGGAAACACTCCACTTCCACAGATCTAGCGCAATGGCAAATCTTGAGCAGTGGAAGGAGAGTGAATATACTCTAGCTCAGCTGGTGAATAGCGACACTGGGAGCACCCTTCAGAAATTACACATATCATACAGTCTGCTAAATACATGAATGCATGATACAATATTGTAACATATATTGACCCCGTTTTTTTATCAAAACCATGCTAGTATAAACCACATCAACTCCATCAACGCATTTAAACAGATATGTTTTGCAAAGAACATTCACTTGACTATGGGCAATAATAAAGGGACAAAAATTCTGCAGGCCTAAAGTATTTGTCAGGAAACTGAATCAATCAGAGAGAACAATGAACAACATTTCACCCAAATGCTCTGGAAACTGTTATTTCAGCACCAAGTACAGCTACACTCAGCAGCAAGAGAGACACATGAACAACTAACTATTCCTTGCATTCTTATCGCAACCAATATGCATTATTCAAGCAACTAGCGATCTTAAAAACCATCCCGTTTATGAAATAAATCCTTGATAAATGTAAATGTTGTAGGTAAATGGATACATGTTGTCATGAGATGATATCCCCTATCTTATCAGTACGAAGCAAGTTGGTTTAACCCTATGAGAATTAAACAACAATGTCTAAGCCAAGCGTATTCCATTTTTACGCATTATTATACATATTCGGGTGTAGGCTACTATTATATATAACAAAATAAATAAATAAAATCTGTATATCCATTTAAAGTAGATGCATACCTCTGAGGACCCATCAGAATCATCAAGTTCTTCAGCAAAGTCTGTTGGAGTTTTTCTCAGAGTCTGATCCGCAGGCAGGGTGTTGTCAATGTAAGATGTGACGAACTTGAAGTCACTTGTGCGTGAACCCGTTGTCAGGTACGCATCATAATTGTAGGTGCTGCGGAGAGTTCCCGCGCCATCCATCTCTGCGTAGTTGGGAGGGAGATACGCACTGGGGATGGCGACCGCTCCGTCAAACAACAGTCTGGGCTTTCTCCTGCGGCAAAACCTCATGGCCAGGATGACAATAATGAAGGTGAGGAAAAAGGTGGAGACGGAGACCAGCGAGATGATCAGATAAGAGGTGAGTTTGGAATTGTTCTCATCAAAATATATATCTTTCAGTTCCGGCACTTCAGCCAAGTTGTCAGAAATCACTAAATACATGGTACATGTCGCAGATAGAGAGGGCTGTCCGTTATCTTTCACTGCCACAATAAGGTTCTGTTTCATGCTGTCAGATTCAGAAATGTCACGCTGTGTCCTGATCTCTCCGCTGTGGAAACCAATAGTGAAAAGTCTCGGATCAGTGGATTTGACTATATGATAGGACAGCCAGGCGTTCTGTCCGGAGTCCGCGTCCACCGCTATCACCTTGGAGACTAGTGAGCCCCCCGTGAGCAGCTTTGGGGACCAGCTCGGTCATGAAGGAGTTCCCCTCCAGAGCGGGATATAGTATCTGAGGAGAGTTGTCATTCACATCCGTTATGAACACACTGACGGTGACGTTGCTGCTGAGTGGAGGAGAACCGTTGTCTCTGGCCAGCACCTGGACTTCAAAGCTCCTGAACTGCTCATAATCAAACGACCTCACAGCGTGTATCACCCCTGTGTCTCCATTAACGGATAGAAACGAGGACACCGGGACACCGTTCACCTCACCGGGTAAGAGAGAGTAAATCACTGTACCATTCTGTCTCCAGTCTGGGTCTCGAGCAGTAACGGAACACACAGAGGAACCGGATTTGTTATTTTCAGTCATTTGGGCGCTATACGACTGTTCCATAAACACAGGTGGGTTGTCGTTGATGTCAGCTACAGATAACTGAATAGTTTTATAGGAGGAAAGAGGCGGAGAGCCTTCGTCGGTGGCAGCGATTGTAATGTTGTAATCAGACACTAGTTCACGGTCCAGTTCGCCCGTGGTCACCAGAGAATAGTAGTTTTTGATGGATGGCACCAGCTTAAAAGGAACGTTTTGCTGAATGGAGCAGCGGCCCTGACCGTTGTTCTCAGAGTCTCTATCCTGCACGTTAATGATGCCCACCTCTGTACCAGGTGACACATTCTCAGGTATGGGGTTAGTCAGAGATTTCAGATATATCTCAGGGGTGTTGTCATTAATGTCAGTAACATCAATAATGACTTTAGCATTGGAAGTAAGACCATATCCATCTTTCGCTTCTATTCGCATTTCATACACAGATTCTTCCTCGAAATCTATAGGCCCTATGATCTTTACATCGCCTGTTTTCTGGCTTAAAGCAAAAATGTGTCTAGCTGTATCAGAAATTCGACTAAATTCATACGTCACTTCTCCATTTACTCCCTCATCTGCATCCGTAGCACTCACTGTAACCACTACAGTATCTAATGGAGAGTTTTCCATCAGAGTGGCTTTATAGACGGCCTGGCTAAACACTGGGGCATTATCGTTAGCATCCAGTACAGTGACGTGTATGACTACAGTACCGGATCTCTGCAGAGTGCCACCATCCATCGCTGTAAGCAATAGTTTCAACTCATGTTTCTCTTCACGATCTAGCTCTCTGTCTAAAACTAGCTCACCATATTTACCCCCATCTGCGCTAGATTGCACAGCCAGCACAAAATGTTCATTCCTTTCCAGTGTATAGCTTTGTACTCCGTGTTGTCCTATGTCCGCATCATGGGCCTCAATCAAAAGAAAACGAGCTCCTTTGACAGCAGACTCTGTAATTTCTAGTTTGATTATGTCTTTTGGAAAAATTGGTGCATTATCGTTGATATCTTGTATTTGAAGTGATATACGATGCAATTCCAAGGGATTCTCGAGGACCAATTCGAATCTGAGAAGACAAGAAACCTTTTCTCCACAAAGCGCTTCTCTATCAATTCGGTCCGCGACAATCAAATCACCGGTACTCAGATTAATGTCACAATAACGTTTACGGTTCCTTTCTGTATCAATACGGGCTTTACGAGCTGACAATCTGCTCGCCTCCAGCCCGAGATCCTTGGCTATATTTCCAATCACAGATCCGCGTTTCATCTCCTCCGGAAAAGAATAGATCACGTCTCCATAGGCGTAGTGCAGTGTAAGAAGAAAGAAAGCAAAGCCGCAGACCAGGCCTGCCACGCAAAATCCTTTGTGTCCCATCCTTACATGTAAACGGCGTGATATTCAGGCTGTAGTTATGTGTATCGATGTATGTAATGTAAATATTCCACAAAAATGTATTTTGTTCATTCGAAAATAGCCTAATTCCAATTAACCAGAGAAAACACTAACACACGGACTGTTTCCACGGTTTTCTGCAGCGCAGTGGCAAATCCAGAGCTGTGTAGGCTATTCGTGAATATGAGTGGGTGGAGAGGAGAAGTTATCCTAGGTCAGTTGGTGAACAGCGACACTGTGAGCACCATTTAGAAATGACATTTATTGCCTGACCACATCGAACTTCAGTTTGAAAAAATACTCGTCACACTTTCGATTTATAGCCAAATAAAACGACACACATCAAGATAAAGTCAATAATAAACCATTGGTTATGGCATGACAACTGGACGAAAAGGTGTGTGTGGGGGGATGAATATGCCACACTCAGTAAAGTTTAGGAATCCGAGGGAAGACAGCTTAAATAAAATATCATTATTTTAATGTGTCGATCTTTCATCCACCA